GCTTTAACATTCCCTTAAGTAAAAACATTTTATAATTCTACTGAGCTTTAACATTCCCTTAAGTAAAAACATTCTATAATTCTACTGAGCCTTAACATTTCTGCGAGTAAGGAAATTTTTAAAATATATAGTCTTAACATTCCTGCCAGTAAAGAAGGGCATTTAAAGGTCTCTTCAGTCTAACATTCCTGTGAGTAAAGGCATTTTATAAGTCTATTGAGCCTTAACACTCTCTCTCGCTGATAAGTGAAAATTTAATACGCAGCTCTAGTGAACTTCATACTTTGAGATGTACTTTCTATGCTGATTGGTGTCAATGATGCATCTTTAACCCTCTCACAAAGCGAGACCTGAGATGTGTTATTGGATGTAAAAAAAAAACGTTGCAGCTAAAAACGTTGTATAAGCAGTTGGCCATACCTCAATGCACTCTCTACAGAAGTTATTCATGTATTTGACTGACTTTGATATTGAGAGATCAGTTACAACACCGTATTTACTAGGATAACTTATTTTATCTAATCGTTATATTTATATCTCATAGTCTCTAAATCAAAAATCACCGTAAACTAAGGATAAAATAAAATAAAACATACATATAAACAAAATACATTATACAAAGGTCTGTTCCAGCTTTCTAAAAATTTCCTTTCCTCAGTATTCAATTCACGCAAGTAATTCAAATAAAGAAAAAGAACGAACAAAAAGCGCCTTCTACACTATAAACACTCCAAATTGAAAAACATTTCAAAAATAACTGTAATTTATATTAATGTTACACAGAAATAAGTGATCCGAACCCCAATCTTAGCAGATTAAGGCTAACAAGAACAACCTGCTAATAAATTCTGAATTCTGTCACTCACTTTTTACAGCATGTAAAGCTTAAAAATAAATTCAGAGCAGTCGAACTCTGAGCTTTTTTGTACTGTTATATTGTAATACTGTGAATCACGCCATACAAATATTGACGTGGTTGCCGTGGTGACCATTGCGGTACAGTTTATTCTCCGTATTAGTCTAGGTTTAGACTTGAAAAAAACGTTCTTGAAACTTTCATAATAATTATGGCGCCAAGTCAGATAATCTTAAAAGGATGATACGATTGAAGATACCTAAAACACTGAATTAGTAATAACTGGTTCTATTTAAGTAACGTGTTATTTGTTGTTGTTTCCACGCCCCCCCCCCCCAGTCTCTTTTCAGTTTAGTTTCTTTTTGACCCGAAGCATCAAAATATAAAACAACAACCGACAGCCAAGCTCTTCCTATATTTTACTATCGTTTCCCCGTCACCGCTTGAGCCCATGCGTAAATTGTGACGGAAAGCCCGGGGCCAACAGGTGCTGGACGTTGAATATCGCAGGAGTTATAACGGCCAGTAAGTAGGTCTGACTACAAATCACCGTAAACTAAGGATAAAATAAAACATACTGCTAAGTATAAACAAAATACATTATACAAAGTTCCGTTCCTTTCCTCAGTATTCAATTCATGCAAGTAATTCAAGTAAAAAAAACAACGAAGAAAAAGGGCTTACCTATCTCAAGGATTGATAAAGGTGCAGTAACCTACAAAGAGCAACTGAGGAAGCAAACTTCTTAATTTCTAGATATGACGCATTATACAAAACGTAATCTAATTATGGAAATAAATATTAAGATAGATCATCGAATAACAGCTGATAGGTGAAGTAATAACAAAGAGATTACTTCAGGAAAGTAGCTCACATTACAATATGTAACATACTATCAGAAAGTAACTCATATAACAAGATGTAACTTATTGTCTGAAAGCAGTTCATCCAGCAGAATAGCTTTCTACTGGAAAGTAGGCTCATCTAACAATATGTAACCAAGGTAAGGTATGTTATCTGAAATAGCTATTGTTACTTTCATTAACAGTATTGGTTATACTATTTAGTATATTGAATGCCATTACTTTTATTTTGATTTGATGATTATTATCACATATTTTTTATAAAGATTGTTTTGCATTGTTAGCTTAATATATGTGTTTAGGACTACCCTAAATCTCCTAAGATGGCCGAACTTCCTGAGACATTATTAGGATTATGACCGAAAACACGGTTAAGAGCGAGGGTACCCAAATGATGAAACAATGCCTTGTAATCTTTATAATTGGAAACGAAATAAACTTTTATTTAATTAGCTATACTGGTTGCAAGGTTAATGTTCAGTTTCGCTCTAAATATATAGGTTTTTCTGATCGGAAGTTAATATTAATTGCTACCTGCAAGTAGCTCACTTAACAATATATAGTTTACCCGGGAAGACATATATTAACAATACGTACCTTACAAGCTTGCAAGTACCTCACCTAACAATATAGGTTACTGTCGGAAATTCATTCATTTAACGTTAAGTTTTCAGTCTCAAAGTAGTTCACTTAACAATATATAAACACTAGCTTACTACCAGGAAATAGCTCACTTAACAATATATAAACACTAGCTTACCACCAAAAAATAGCTCACTTAACAATATATAAACACTAGCTTACTACCAGGAAATAGCTCACTTAACAATATATACACACTATCTTACTACCAGGAAATAGCTCGGCTAGCAATACATAATTTACTGACTGAAATTAGCTTATTCCACACTACAGCTTTTTAGTGAAAGATAGTTCATCTAATAAGAGAACTTACGATCGAAAAGTAGTCCATTTAATATTAAATCTTACTGCCTTAAAATAGCTTACTTAACTATAAATGTATTGTTTTCCGGAAAGTATTTCACTTCACAATACGTAACTCACTAGTTGAATATAGCTCATCTAACAACATGTGTAGCTTACTGTCAGAAAGTGACATATCTAACAACATGTGTAGCTTACTGTCAGAAAGTGACATATCTAACAACATGTGTAGCTTACTGTCAGAAAGTGACATATCTAACATGTGTAGCTTACTGTCAGAAAGTGACATATCTAACATGTGTAGCTTACTGTCAGAAAGTGACATATCTAACATGTGTAGCTTACTGTCAGAAAGCCTAATGGGTACAAATAGTTCACCTACAATTAAATACACAAATGACATAGGCGATATGTCATCATAACATACAAATACACAGATGCAAGTAAAGGAACATCTGGAGTGATATTTCATAAAATAACAATCAACAATATAAACATAAGGAAGATAACAATCAGCAATATATAAACATAAGGAAGATAACAATCAGCAATATGTAAACATAAGGAAGATAATAATCAACAATATAAACATAAGGAAGATAATAATCAGCAATATATAAACATAAGGAAGATAACAATCAGCAATATTGCTGATTATTATCTTCCTTATGTTTATATTATATAAACATAAGGAAGATAACAATCAACAATATAAACACAAGGAAGACTAGTTTAGGAGAAGTAACTTAATAAAGTTATTAATTTCTCAAGAAGATTTTATAACACGAGTTTCCTTTCTCTATCGTAGCATCTGTGTATGGATATGTCTAAGGGTCAAGTAAAATATAATACACTTCAATCAGTTATAAATACGAAGAAAAAAAATGGTGGCGGGAAGCATTACTTTCATTTTTATTCGCATGTCCGTGTAGTTTTTGTATTTGTGTAAGAAATGCCTTTATTTTTCGTCATTAACTCAAGGAAGTTAAGTACTCGTTAGAAGCAGTGAATGAACTTTTCAAACAAAATACTGTTTGCCAGGCAACACTTCGTACCACTGTATATTTCACCTTTTAAGGTTTTGTTTATGTTTGGGACAAAATAGAAAATTTTATGAATCACTTTTTACTTACTATTTGATGATCCAATAAATCCATTAAAATGGCCTTCGTAATGATAATTCTCAAAAGATGTCTGTGTTGAAACCGAAATAACTTGATTTCCAGTGGGAGAAATTGGAATTCTACCGATAGTCGAATGACGCTGGTTGTAAACGGGGTGGATTTGATTATTCCATGAATGGAGGGGACGAGGGGTTGGTTTATGTTGACCAATAAACGTTTGTAACTGAAAACGTGTGCTACGATTATGTGGGTAGAAACCAGGTCGTGTGGCTATTTCGGATGGCCAGAGAGTATCCATGGTTTGATCACTTCTAGAAGTACGTGGACGCACGACTATTGGAACACAACAGTTGATAGGATTAGGAGACTCCTGGTCCTCATTGCTGTCTCTGCTGATAGAATGAGAACTACACGAGCATAAAGAAATATGAGTTTGGTCTTTTCCACAACCGCAAGGCTGGTCATCTTGTCCGCGACGACCAGATTCACAGGTAATAGCTTCTGCACGACTAGCTATTTCTGACCACAGATCGTCCTCAACAGCTTGAGATGGACGGGTATCAGCAAGATGTGCCTTTACAGATCTGTCCATATTGAAATAAAATATTTCTTGACAAGTATTAGTGGCTAATAAAGCCTCGTAAACACCTTTCGTGTATTTCTAGAAACGTAACCTTATTAATCAATCCCAAATAGTTATCGAACAAACTTCTTTGTCAGATTATTCATCAGATGGCGGAAATTGTCGAATGATTGATGTTCCTGTAAAAAAAGATATATATTATGTTTAAAAGCACAATCCTGATTCTACCTGAACATATTAGTGAATAGAATAGTACTGAATGCAGTCCTGAATTTTGTCACGTAAAATAAAACACTCACATCTATAATTTGACATTTCCAGAGAAAAATTGAAATTTTCTAAATGTCATGACGATTCCAAGTTAGTTTACTTACATTATATAAGTCTACTGTGTGTGTGTGTGAAAGTCTCGATTTCGTCACATTAAATCGAGTTCAAATCTCATCAATGGTACAACTAGATCTGAGTCCAAGTAATCACTTTCAAGGTTCATCAATGGTACAACTAGGTCTGAGTCCAAGTAATTACTTTCAGGGTTCATCAATGGTACAACTAGGTCTGAGTCCAAGTAATTACTTTCAGGGTTCATCAATGGTACAACTAGGTCTGAGTCCAAGTAATTACTTTCAGGGTTCATCAATGGTACAACTAGGTCTGAGTCCAATTAATTACTTTCAGGGTTCATCAACAGTACAACTAAATCTGAATTCAAGTAATCACTTTCAGGTTTCATCAATGGTACAACAAAGTCTGAGTCCAATTAATCACTTTCAGGTTTCATCAATGGTACAACAAGGTCTGAGTCCAATTAATCACTTACAGGGTTCATCAATGGTACAACTAGGTCTGAGTCCAAGTAATTACTTTCAGGGTTCATCAATGGTACAACTAGGTCTAAGTCCAAGTAATTCATTTCAAGTCTGATCAACAGTAAAATTTAGCGTGGATCTAAGTACTCACTTTAAAGTATAGTCAACGGTAAAACAACATGTGAATCTAAGTACTAACTTTAAAGTATCATCAACAATAAAATTTAGCGTGGATTTAAGTACTCACTTTAAAATATAGTCAACGGTAAAACAAAATGTAAATTTAAGTACTAACTTTAAAGTATCAACAATGGTAAAACAAAATGTGGATCTAAGTACTCACTTTAAAGTGTCATTAACGGTAAAATAAAGTGTGGTTCCTAGTACTCAGTTTAAAGTATTATCAACGGTAAAATAATGTGTAAATCCAAATAACCTCTTTAAGGTCTCCTCAACGGTAGTTATGTGTGTATCAAAAACAAAAGAGTTACGTTAGGTATTAACATGTCGCTCTTGGTGGCACAGTTCGCATCTGGGGCAACCAACACGTCGCTACATTATTATGTACATCATTATTATATAGTACAGTTAACCCTCTGTACTCTTTGTTAATGGCATCCCAGTGGCTCAACGCTAAGTCTGAGGGCCTATAACGCTAAAAATCCCGTTTTGATACCTGCGATGGGCAAAGCACAGATAGCCCATTGTGTAGAAACTTTGCTAATTTCTAAGCTGCAATGTTCTTTCACACTGACCTTCTGTCATTCTTCAAGAAAACTTTCATTGTGTCGTTGTTACAGTCCTCCTTTATTGTGTTATTGTTTAGTCCTATTTCATTATGTTATTGTTACAGTCCTCTTTAAAACTATATTTCTCATTTCATCCATCGATAAGACATTAAATGCGTTCTATTTTGTGTTTTCACTGCGAATTAAATTTGTCGTAACCATGATGTACCAGCGTTACGTTGTAACAATATTGTACCAGTACTATACAATCTCTTACGTTTTGGCACACCAACACTATACTGTCAGTAGGTATTATATGGCAAACCGTAATATATCAGGACTATAATCTTTATAACAATACTTTTACAAGGAAATATTAAGTCATATAAAACAGTTATTTCATTCTCCATAGAATGACATTTTAAAAATAATCGTGATAAATCCGTATTTGTTGTAGATTTCATGTGGAAATATGAGTAAGAGACAGCCTGTAAAACCCATTATTTTTATTAGTATGTATACATACAATCTGTAATTACTCTGTAGTCAGATTTTAAGAAATAAGGGGTGGTTTACATAAGAGGAAAAATGAAGAAGTGTAAAAAACAACACTGCATTAAATATTCAAAGACTATATAAAGTGATACCTCTAGGTTTTGGATTTTATTGTTATTTAGTCAGCAATTTACTTTGTAATATAAGTCACCTTTGGTTACAATGATAACATACCATATTTTTCGTTAGGAGCATTTGGAGTAATAGCGGTGACGTGAAGTGTCACACAACGTTAATAAAATTATCAAATATTCAGAGATTAATCTCTTCAATTCTATTACTAGCTGTTCCTGTCTATGAGTTGCGTGTCATATTACTAGCTGTTCCTGTCTATGAGTTGCGTGTCATATTACTAGCTGTTCCTGTCTATGAGTTGCGTGTCATATTACTAGCTGTTCCTGTCTATGAGTTGCGTGTCATATTCATTGCAAAACTTTTCAGTACTATCTGAAAAATAATATCGCTACACCGTGAGTGTGAAATAAAAACACTTAAGTAGGTTTTTAATTAACCCATAAGCTACAGAATAATACTTCGATATATCGACTGTGCTCCATTAGAATGCAAAGTTCAAACACAGTATTTCAAGAATTTTCGCCACCAACATGTTAATAACCAAAAACTACTTATAACTCACACAGGACTGGATTAATGAACAATCTAAACAAGTATGTCAGACTTATAGTGTGGTACTGTGTATTTTAGAATCTTTAGAAAACACCACAAACTTTTCTGGTGGTGAAAGAACACATTCCATTAAAAAAGATACAAGCACTTTTGTGATTTTGGGGAATTTTAAAAAGAAAAGTTTACAATAATTAAGGTAAGTTAGCGGTCACAGTTTCTTAAAAAACAATTACGTAAGCCTTGGACTGCAACATATGGACTTTTATAAATCCCTAAACTTACATAGAGAATCTACAATCCACACGAATGAACTACCCGAAAACATTTAAATTTTTTTCCAAAACAAAAAAAAAAACAATGTCTTCTCAAACACTGATAACGATACAGACGTAACGGTTTATCCTAAAGAGCTTTAATAAACAATTTTACTTGTTCAATGGCATAGTGATTTATACTTTATTATATACAGATGTTTGTTTTTAGCACAAGAGTTACAATATCGGCCAAGGGCGCTCTATCCACAGTGGGAAATCGTCCATAAATTACCACTGTCCCAACGGGGGACACCTGTCTGATTTACATCAGACATCTAAATGATTCCGCCATTACAAGTGCCATTCTGTATACTTAGATATTAACTGATGTGGAGAGATAACAATTACATTTCACATCATAGCAAATATATATGATACCTTAAGCACTTTACTGGTATACAAGAACATAGAAAATCGAATAGTTTCACAATGTAATAAACATATGATGCCATAAGCACTTTGCTAGTGTACCAGTACATAAAAAATAGAATCATTTCACATTGTAATAAATATATGATGCTATAAGCATTTTGCTGAGATACAAGAACGTATAAAGTAGAATCATAATGTTAGAATGGTTTTTCACACATAACCGTAAGCAACGCTAGAAGATTTTCTGAGATTTACAACCTGGTTTTGTTGCTATAAAAAAACAATCTCATGCTTCATAAAATGAGTATAGAAAAGTATTTAAATATAGATACTCAGAACCACTTTATACTTTTGTATCGTTGGTGCACTTTATCAACTAAAAACTGTTCTTTTAAGATATCAACAACCACACACACGTGACGGTTTACTGCTTGTATCACATTAGTGAAATGTTCAAAGATAGAACCCTACTCTCGAGATTAAGATGTTGTTCCAAAGATAGAACTCTATTATTAAGATTAAGATGTTGTTCCAAAGATAGAACTCTATTATCAAGATTAAGATGTTGTTCCAAAGATAGAACTCTATTATCAAGATTAAGATGTTGTTCCAAAGATAAAAGCCTATTCTCACCTCAAGATAAAGATGTTGTTCCAAAGATAAAAGCCTATTCTCACCTCAAGATAAAGATGTTGTTCCAAAGATAAAAGCCTATTCTCAAGATAAAAATGTCACGTATTATTGTGATGGACAATGCACACTGTTAAAGGTAAACGTTGGTTCAAAGAACATAATAATCAGTTATGCCTTTCGGCCAACAAATATACACGGGAGCACAGCTCTAGCGAAGAAACTCGCCTGGGGAACTGGAGATATTTTGAAACTGAGTCATACCTGGTACATTGTCCTAACTTTGAAACTGAATCATACCTGGAGTGAGAATAGCGGTGTCCTGACTTTGAAACTGAGTCATCCTAAAACAGTTTTGTAACGTCCTACAACGGTAACTATGAAACTTAGTCACAATGGAGATATTGTATAAAAACCGGGGTCTCGACTGACTATCACATTAAAAGAACAATAAAGAAATCTTCAAACACTACCTCAAATTTTAGACAATGTATTTTTGTAAAAGATTAAGTTTTAAAGTTATACATAATATACTCAAATACCTTACCCTTTTAGTTATTATTGAGCTCGTGCTTAACATTCCTGTGTATGTTGCAAGTGTTAGTCAAATATCCGATATCTTTTACAGAACATTTGAGTTTTATATTTTAAATATATACAGTCTTTAAAACAAATACAAAATACTCGTGGAAAATTATACCTGATTAATGTCACGATCTCACATAACACAAAAACTGACCATTTTCTTTAAGACGTCGTTAACTTGATCAGATGACTCAGACTGACACCTCTTGATGTCAGTTCTACGACAAAACTGAAAGGTTGGTATTAGCTCAATACACGTTTGTCAATAACCGGTCTTTATTCGGCTTGTGTCAAAAAACTAGCTATTAGTACAACTACAACTGATAACTTCAAGCGAAATAAGATACTGTAATAAAAACAAACTCTGCGTTTTATCTACACTTGGTTCTTGGCAGTAAAATGCATATCGATAATAACGAACAATCCAAAAAAAATAATATTACCCAGTAATCAAATTTCTTGGTTCTTTGAATTCTCAGTTGCAGCATAACTCACATAGACAAGATACCTTTTTTAAATAACTACGGACCAGGTGTCACGTCGTTACCCAGAACCAAGTGCTTCCGCGTGGACAACATCCTCGTTCAAGCACATAGGGTCTTGTCACCTGCATTGATGACGTCATTCTTGTAAGGCGGGAAACCTTTAGTGGACACATGCATTCGCTTGCAAGTTTGACCACGATGGATGGTTGCGACGTGAGTCAGTTTTCCGTGATATTTCTAAGCGTTTTCACTTTTAAAACGTTTCTTTGAATAACATCTTTTCCAAGACATCCTGTAAATTCCCATTGAAAACGAAACACAGTCATATCAAACTAAAATATTCAAAATTTTCGAAGCACTGACAGCGTTTCAAGACTATTTCGTCACCAACACCTTTTATTACTGATAATTATGTTATTACTTTTTATAATTTTCAGTTTCATAGATTTCACATATGAAAGCCCAGTTTCCATGAGGATTTCTTGGAAGAGATTTAGAACACTAGTGCTTATCGTTCTAAATGTACTTAAAATAACCAAACTCTTCATATACAAACCTAAAGTCCACGAACCCAACTAAGTTTTTATATTATTGGTTCTGATCATTTAACGAATCGCTCAACAGTTGATTTTTATGGAATTACGTGATAAGAAAGATATTTTTGGAATAAACCTTTCTTCGTACACTTGTTGACGTTATTCTGCAATTTCCCAATAGATTTCATTAACTACAAAGATAGTAACTTAGGGAACACATAATCTACATACCTGTTAAAATACAGGACATTTTTTTAAAGATAATGTTTAATCTACTGTTTAC